AAACTGACTTCTCACTCCAGCAGCCAATCAAAACTAACAATCACTTGCAGTCACAGCAAGCTCCCAGCTCATACCAGTCAGGGAACACTCTGATCTGCAATTTTGAAGAAGGGCTCCTGGTACCAAGTGTACTTTCCAGTCATGCAAATCTCATTAAAGATAATTGTGCAAATCATTGTTCTTAATAATTGCCTTTATTTTGATATATAGGGTAAAGAAACACAGAAAGGTGACCAAAAAAGACCAAGGGGTCTATTGTGTCTATACCCTTTTTATTGTTTTTGGGGTTTTTTTTTCCCTTTTTTAATAATTTTATCTTAGAATAGCTTGTGTTTGTTCCAGCAGTGTTTAAATTCACTGTTCCTGTTAACCGACTTACTAATTCTGCTGGAAGTCTGTTCCAAGCATCAACTACTCTTTCCAAGGTTCGTTTTGAACTTTCCTTCTGCTAGTGCGAGGCCATGCCCCCGTGTTCTTGATCTTGGCTTCATATAGAAAATAGTGCACACCTGAATGTTATTCACACCTTCCATGTATTCAAAGAATATGTCAACCCAAAATTTAATATTACTGATATGTGCCTACTGTGCCATGTACTTTATGAAAATGTATCCTGTTCTCTTTGTATTGCTTCCTTTGTGTGAAATCCCTGGTGTTCCTGCCAGTTCCTCTGCTTTCCTATTAAAAACTGACCACACTAGGCAGGAGAGCACACTGTGGACAGTTCTGTAGCTGAGAACAGACTTTTCTCTCCTCTAATGATCTGAATTCTGCTAATTCCCCCCCTCCCACCACCACCACACAGCCATTCACCGGGAGGTTCAGCGTTCTGCTGTTTCTCCTCCACCCGCTCTTGGAGCTCCTTATGTAATTGAGAACAGAGGGAATGTGATCAAAATAGGAAAAAAAGGTATTTTCTAATATTGGTATTGGTCGTTTTACAAGGTGAGGGTTCATGTATACTTTAATGGTCTCCGTTATGTCCCCCTTTGCCATCTTTCCCCAAAACTGTACATATTAAAGTGTTGAAAGGCTAACTGTGTTTCTACACCGTAATTCATTCTTTGCATTAAACACCCCATTAACTGTCTCCTCCCCACCCATCCCTAAACATTTACCTGAGTCCTCTCGGGATTCAGATCCAGCTTTGTCTCATCTGCAGTGCTCTCCTCTTCTCCTGGAGACACTGAGAACAGTAGGAGTCATTGGCTACTGCTGCTGTCAGTCAAATCCTGTGTGGAGGGGGGAGGGGGGAGAGAGGTGGCCGAGCTGCTCTGTTTGAGTTCAGAGGTCAGTAGTAGCTGAGGCAGAGTTCAGGCATCAGTAGTAAGTGAGGCAGAATTCATAGGTCAGTAGTAAGTGAGGCAGAGTTCAGGCATCAGTAGTAAGTGGGGCAGAGTTCAGAAGTAAGTGAGATAATGCTCAGGGGTCAGTAGTAAGTGAGGCAGAGTTCATAGGTCAGTAGTAAGTGAGGCAGAGTTCATAGGTCAGTAGTAAGTGAGGCAGAGTTCATAGGTCAGTAGTAAGTGAGGAGGCAGAGTTCAGAGGGTCAGTAGTAAGTGAGGCAGAGTTCAGAAGTCAGAAGTACATGAGTACATATTGCTCAGGGGGTCAGTAGTAAGTGAGGCAGAATTCATAGGTCAGTAGTAAGTGAGATAATGCTCAGGGGTCAGTAGTAAGTGAGGCAGAGTTCATAGGTCAGTAGTAAGTGAGGCAGAGTTCATAGGTCAGTAGTAAGTGAGGCAGAGTTTAGGTAGGGGTCAGTAGTAAGTGAGGCAGAGTTCAGAAGTCAGAAGTAAATGAGATATTGCTCAGGGGTCAGTACAGTAGTAAGTGAGGCAGAGTTCTGAGGTCAGTAGTAAGTGAGGCAGAGTTCTGAGGTCAGTAGTAAGTGAAGCAGAGTTCAGAGGTCAGTAGCGAGGCAATGTTCATAGGTCAGTAGTAACTGAGGCAATGTTCAGGGATCAGTAGTAAATGAGGTGGAGTTCAGAGGTCAGTAGTAAGATATGCAGAGTTTGGAGGTCAGTAGTAAGTACAGAGGCAAAGTGCAAAGTTATAGGTCAGTAGTAAGTGAGGCAATGTTCAGGGGTTAGTAGTAGTAAGTAAGGCGGGAGTTAAGAGGTCAGTAGTAAGATATGGAGAGAGTTTGGACTTCAGTAGTAAGTGAGTCAGAGTTCAGAGGTCAATAGTAAGATATGCAGAGTTCGGAGGTCAGTGGTAAGATATGCAGTGTTCGGAGGTCAGGTGGTAAGTGAGTCAAAGTTCATAGGTCAGTACTAAGTGAGGCAATGTTCAGGGGTTAAGTGAGGCGGAGTTAAGAAGTCAGTAGTAAGATATGGAGAGTTTGGAGGTCAGTAGTAAGATATGGAGAGTGGAGGTTGGAGGTCAGTAGTAAGGCAGAGTTCAGGCATCATGGTAAGTGAGGCAAAGTTTAGAGGTTAGTAGAAAGTGAGGCAGAGTTCAGAGGTCAGAAGTAAGATATGTAAGTTTGGAGGTCAGTAGTAAGTGAGGCAGAGTTCAGGGGTCATTAGTAAGTGAGGCAGAGTTCAGGGGTCATTGGTAAGTGAGGCAGAGTTCAGGAGTCAGTAGTAAGCAATGGAGAGTTCAGAGGTGAGTAGTCAGTAGTGAGGCATTGTTCAGAGGTCAGTAGTAAGTGAGGCAGAGTTCAGGGGTCATTAGTAAGTGAGGCAGAGTTCAGGGGGTCATTGGTAAGTGAGGCAGAGTTCAGGAGTCAGTAGTAAGCAATGGAGAGTTCAGAGGTGAGTAGTAGTGAGGCATTGTTCAGAGGTCAGTAGTAAGTGAGGCAGAGTTCATTGGTCAGTAGAAGGTGATGCAGAATTCAGAGGTCAGTAGTAAGTAATGGAAAGTTCAGAGGTCATTAGTAAGTGAGACAGAGTTCAGAGGTCAGTAGTAAGTGATGCAGTACAGTATGTACAGTCTGTGAGACTCTTGCTTGTGGCACAGCATTCAATGCATATTTTATAAGTACAAGGAAGATCAGGTTTTGTTTAACCACATTCCTTAAGCTCCTCCCATTGTTAAGGTTTGACCACGCCCACTTTTTTGCCACGGCATGCTACGTCATCCCTGCTTACCTAAAATGTCCTTTATTCTCAAGTTCTAAATTGGGAGGTATGTTCTAGTGATCTCTAAAGATCTATATGGGGGAATCAGGACCTCCTTCCCCCTGCATTTTTCAATCACCTGAAATAAGCACCCCCAAATTTTTTCCTCTGTAGTTCTGGCCAACACTGTACCCCCATAATTGTACTCTATCAGAGGAGTTAAGTTTAGAAATGTTGTACTGGAACTTCCACTGTGTCAACCAATCTTCCAGCAATGCCAAATTACGCTCCATGTTACCGACACCTCCAGGAATATCAAACCTATTTCACACCTTTGTGTCATCACTAAAAAGACATAATGGCTTTATCAGACTAATCACCATTTGCTGCACTCAAAGCTTTCCATATGGATTTACACCAACCATACAAAGCCATGACACAATCTTGTGTTGTCTTCTGGCACGTGCGAGTTTTATCATTTTCTCTGGAGGACTGGCTGCTTAGATAAGCGATCGCTGTGTGGTTTGGGGACCTACATGCCTCTGTCATTACTCCAGCTTTATGTATTGTTGGATTATAGGTATTACAATCACAAAGGATCTGACATTCCCTGTTCTCTAGGAAGGTGCGGAGTTATGTTAGTTGAGTCACGCGCGTGTTATGAATGGATTAGGGGGAATTGTGTGGAAACATTCCAGAGGAGAACATGCAAATTGTGGTTTATACTGTATAAAACAGCAGTGCAGTTACACCAGGATTAGTACTACATCAGTTATAATGTACTTGCATGGAAAAGGTAAAAGAGCAGTATAAAGGACCGCTACATAGGATTGCACTGTGGAAAGTGGTATCAAGGGCATAGTTTCTGATTATTTCAATACTGTGAAAGTATAGAATAGTTTCTCAAAAATGTACAAAAATGTCATCTTTGTGGTCACCCTATTGTCTGTGAGTACAAACAGTGATCTTAAAGGGAAAGTTATAGTGGATATATTTTCTTCTATTATGTGTAATTTTTCCCTCGGAAAATATGAAATATTGTCTATTAATATTTTGTCTTTGTATTCAGCCAGTGGGTTGAGTCCTCAGTTACTTTTCTTATGCTTTTAAGGCTCACATGTTGTAAAAATGTTTACATACCAAAATAGCTCAAGCTTAAAACTAAACTCAGCTTGGAAACGTTTATTTAAATATATTCTCCAATAGTCACAAAGGATATAAATCCACATTGTGTGCACCAAATGCCTTTTCAAACCTAGATATGACCTTGTAAATGTAGCAATGACATCATCACTGTGCTGTACATAGCCTGTGCAGAGAGCAGAACTGTGGGAGGGACCCAGCAGGTCCACTCACTACAAGCTGCCTGCAAAAACCTAAAGGAGGGGCAGAGACAAGACCAGTCACCCTGCACAGGAAGAAAGAGCAGCAGTGAGCGGTCTTTATTACAGGAAGCCCCTGCACAGAGGTAAAGTTTCATATTAGATCTGGAAGAAATGCACAAAGCACACCCAGATTTACGTTAGAATATGCATGACTCTTGTACTTAGACAATATATGTTTGTCCCGGAGTTGTGCTTTAGGTTCTGGTTCACACATTGTGTGTGTGTGGACCGCATTTGTTCAGGCACGGCAGCTCATTTATTTGAATTGGCTGCCATGTCTGCGGTTCCTGCAGAGAAAAATGTATGGACCTTTTTTTCAAAACACGTCCCACAGAGAAATCACATGCTCTGTTTGACCATACGATTTCCCTGCAGATCCTGCACCCACAAACGTGCTGCGTTTTTTTACATGCATGGGGTGCCATTCGGAATGAATGGCAGCCCTGCTCATTTTCTCACAGCAGTGCGTTTTCACTGCGGGTGCAGGAAACGCTGCAATTCCTGCACAGACGACCACCCACGTAGATGTGAACCAGGACTTAAAGTGTTACTAAACCCACAACAGTAAAATCAGTCTGTATATGCAGTAAAACATGCTTGTTATACTCATTGTGGAATCCTCTGCATTGTGTAAAAATGCTGTTTGATCCTGACTTCTCTGATCCACCCCTTCTTCCAGTGCACCCCTTTTATCTCCTGATAAGACATATTGTTTGGAGACACTCTGCACATGCTCAGTTTGGTGTGTATTTGCTAGAGAGGGTTTTTATTTCTTGGGATAGTGTGTTTCAGCACAGAGCCAATCAGCATTGTCCAGTCAGAGGGTCAGGGGTTATGCAGCCTCTCATAGGACAGTTAGAGCAGAAGAAAAACTCCTCCTACAAGCTTTAACCAGTGCTCAGTTGGACACTGATAGAAGTCACAAGACTGCTCTAGCTACTGATGAGAAAAAAAAAGGTATTTAGCAGTTTATATTTACTAAAATAATTGCACTTCCATGTTGTGTGCACTGTGGAAGACCAGATATAGTGAATGCAGAATCCTGGGTTTAGTAACATTTTAAAGTGGGTGTCCTAGTCAGAACTTTTTATAGCTTTGGATAAATTAGGAAAAGATTAAAAACCTGGCTCCTGTTATTGCAGACTGATCTCCACTAGAGGGATTTACCCTCACTTCCTGTCCTGCTAACAGTATTTTACCAGATAAGACATGAGCGCAATGGTCTAGCAACACATACAGAAATACAAATGGTTTTCTTTAGTAGTAGACTAGAACCTCTGTAAGTTTTTTTTCTTATTTTTCTCTGTAGCTAATATTACTGTGAAATTTTGAAATGGAGACTTTATTTTGGCAGCATATTCTGCCTTATCTACCTACTTTCTGTAATCCCTATTTATGTTTTCACTATCAATTTACTGAAGGATTTTGTCATTGAAAACTGAACTCTGGGCAAATACAAATGATACAAATTAATGGGGTCCGTAATCATGAATACATAATTAAATGTTTTTTGTTTTTTTTAATACAAGCGGTGTAAGCACCCGATTTTGACCTGGTATCAGTCTCTTGCAGTCCTTGTATAGGAGAACTTAGACTAGGGGAAGAAGTAGTACAAATAGCCAATCAGTTATCTTGCAGTGATCATGTGCTAACAAGGGACATGCTGAGAGGAGGAGAGAGCAGAGTGACAGAAATGACCTTGTTAGTCTGTTTCTCCTTTCACTCTCCAGTCACAGGCCAGGTGAGGGAGTAGATCTGTAAAGTTGGCCTTATACTAGAATTTTAATTGGAAATTTCTTGTTTTAAGAATGTGTGTTCAATTTTCTAATCAAAAGAGGGGTCAATTTGACATTTGTTTTTGACTGCAGTGATGCGAAAATTTAAAGGAGCAATTTGGAAAATTAAACCAATTTCTGGCAGTGAATGTGGTTTCTAATAGTGAATGTAGTTAAAGTCCATTTGTTAACTGCTTTCCCGCCACCCTATAGTAGAACTACTGCTACGGGGCGGCAGGGCTGTGCAAAATCAAATATGTATACAGTTGCAAGAAAAAGTATGTGAACCCCTTGGGATTATGTGGAGTTTTGCATGAATTGGGCATAAAATGTGCTCTAAGTCACAACAATAGAAGAACACAGTCTGCTGAACATAATACTACACAAACATTAGATGTTGCCATGGTTTAATTGCACATAACATGTAAACATTTACAGTGCAGGGAGGAAAAAGTATGTGAACCTTTGGACTTATTAACTGGTTGACCCTCCTTTGGCAGCAATAACCTCAACCAAACGTTTCCTGTAGTTGCAGATCAGACCTGCACAACGATCTGGAGTCATTTTGGACCACTCCCCTTCACAAAACTGTTTCAGTGTAGCAATATTCTTGGGAAGTCTGGTGTGAATCGCTCTCTTAAGGTCATGCCACAGCATTTCAATAGAGTTGAGGTCAGGACTCTGACTGGGCCACTCCAGAAGGCATATTCTGTGCTGTTGCAGCCATTGTTTTGTTGAATTACTTGTATGCTTTGGGTCATTGTCCTGTTGCATCACCCATCCTCTGCGGAGCTTCAGTTGGCGGACAGATGTATATTTTGCCAGTAGTGCTGTGGAACATCCAGGTGCTCTTTTGCAAACTTCAAACGTGCTGCAATATTCTTTTTGTACAGCAATGGCTTCCTCCGTGGTGTCCTCCCATGTACTCCATTCTTGTTTAATGTTTTCCTTATTGTAGATGTGTCAACAAAAATGTTAGCATGTGCCAGAGATTTCTGTAGGTCTTTAGCTGACACTCTGGGATTCTTCTTTACCTCATGCAGCATTCTGCGCTGTGCTCTTGCAGTCATTTTTACAGGACGACCACGTCTAGGGAGAGTAGCAACAGTGCTAAACTTTCTCCATTTGTAGACAGTCTGTCTTACCGTGGACACATGAACATCAAGGCTTTTGGAGATACGTTTGTAACCCTTTCCAGTGTCATGCAAGTCAACAATTCTTGATCGTAGGTCTTCTGAGAGCTCTTTTCTGCGCATCATGGTTCACATCAGACAGTGCTTCTTGAAACCAGTAAACCCAAAACAGGTGTGTGTTTTTTAAGGGCAGGACAGCTGTCAGCAACACATCCAATATCATCACACTGATTGGAGTCAAGGTTGGCTCACTCCTGGCTCCAATTAGCTCTGGGAGAAGTCATTAAGCTAGGGCATCACATACTTTTTCCTATGTTCAGCAGACTGTGTTCTTCTATTGTTGTGACTTAGATGACGTTCAGAGCACATTTTATGCCCAATTCATGCAAAACTCCACGTAATCCCAAGGGGTTCACATACTTTTTCTTGCAACTGTACGTGATTTGCATTTCCGGGTAGGGATGTCCATCACCGGGTCCTGGCCAGAGATTCCCCGCCGGCACCCAGCGATTGCCATGTAGAACGGACAAGGGAGACACCTGTGTGTAAACAGCAAAACACACACAGCACATAATGTAAAACACACACAGCACACAGTTAACCCTTTGATTGCCCCAGATGTTAACCTTTTCCTGCCCAGTGCCATTAGTACAGTGTCATTGCTTTTTATTAGCATTGATCACTGTATTAGTGTCATTGGGATGTCAGTGGCAGTCAGTTCCCACCCAGTGTCAGAATGCCCTCCACAGTCCCGCTATAAGTCGCTGATCGCTGCCATTGCTAGTATAAAAAAAATAAAAATCCCAATATATATACCGCCATCTGTAGACGCTATACTTTTCACATAAACCAATTAAAATACATGTATTGGGATTTTTTTTTAGCAGAATACATTTTGACCTAAATTTACAAAGAAATTAGTTTTTTAATTTTTTTTACTGGATAATATTTTATAGGCAAAAAGTCAAAAAATGTGTTTTTTTTTTTTTTTCAACATTGTCGGTCTTTTTTTTGTTTATAGAGCAAAAAATAAAAACCGCACAGTCGATCAAATACCATCGAAAGAAAGCTCTATTTGTGGGAAAAAAGGACATAAATTTGAATTTGAGTGTAGCGTTGCATGACCATGCAATTGTTAAAGTAACGCAGTGCCGTGTCGCAAAAAATGGCCTGGTCAGGAAGGGGGGTAAGTCCTCTGGAGGGCAAGTGGTTAAAAAACGGAAAGTTAGAAGCAAATAAAATTTTGAAGCACTTTGAGTGACATTCGTTAATTTGTTGAATGTAGTGAGAATTTTCGTACGTTTCGTTCATATGAATGTTTGCAATAGAAAATCGACTAGTGTTTGGCCAGCTTAAACTACTGCGGGGAAAATTAGGCCTCCTTCTCTGTCAGGCTGGGCTGTGCTTTGTGGCAGAGCTGTGTAAATTGCAGGCCTGGATGAACAGAAATGCAAATCAATGAGCAGGTAAAACTGCTCACATATATGTATTTTATCTGTGTATTTGGCCGTCCAGCTTTAATAGTATCTTTTCCCACTAGAGATAAATTAAAAATCTTTTTCTCGGAAAAAGGAGTCCTCACACTTAAAATTATTTGTGTTGGTTGGCACCAGGGGACAATAGCAGCACCTTTCCCTAATGGCTCTGGGTACCTCATGGCCACCCAACAACGGACTGGTATTTTGCTTGCAGTGATGGATTGTAGCCTTGGAAGTGAGCGGGAATTATCAGGGATGAAGCTGAGGTTTGGGAGGTGCTGCTCAGCGTCTTATAGAAACCTTAAACCGTGTCTGGCCGGGATCCCACAGACAAACACAAACAAGCACTTCTTTCACTCAACCTGATCTTCGGCATTGAGGCCTCTTCCCGGAGACTCACCTGCCTGGGCCGTTCTGTGATAAATGACTTTCTCATTGTCGTCTAGGCCTGAAACATATTTATGTTTGATTATTTTTATATTATTTGGAATCATACGGCAGCTGTGTGAACATTCACAATCAACTGTCAAAGTGTAGCAGTTAGTTGATATACAGACAAATTACATCATCAATCTTGTCTCTAAATATCACCCAAACCGTACTCTCCACTCCTCGCAAGACCTCCTGCTCTCTAGCCCCCTTGTCTCCTCCTCCCATGCTCGTCTCCAGGACTTCTCCAGAGCTTCCCCCATCCTCTGGAACTCTCTACCCCAAGTTATCAGACTATCGCCTACTCTGCTCACTTTTAGGCGATCTCTGAAAACCTATCTCTTCAGGGAAGCCTATCCTGCCCTCAGCTAATACTGTAATCTTCTACTCTTCCAACCAGTCCATCCCCCACAGTTACTACCTTTTGTACCACTAGGCCTTCCCTCTTAGATTGTAAGCTCCAAGGAGCAGGGCCCTCCTATCCCTCTTGTATTGAACTGTATTGTTGCTGTATTGTCTCCCGTTATATTGTAAAGCGCTGAGCAAACTGTTGGCGCTATATAAATCCTGTATAATAATAATAATAATAATAATACAGACATAAAGGCAGGAGGTATTAATTAATTCATAAATAGATAATGAAGCAGCAGTTAGAGAAAAAGTAGATTTTGTTGTTTTCTGTTAATGAAGGTTTTAGTGAATTTTGGACAGAGCTCATGTATCTACTCACTTCCTTAAAAGTGTATCTGTCGCAAACGTGCGCAACACACAGTGAAGGACGCAGACTCCCCTTTATTAAGAGTATCTATTTCTCCCTTATTCTCCTTCCCCCTCCCTTCCTGAGAGGCCCAGAGACATATGGCCAGTATGTGTGTGAGTTAGGAATGTCACAGGAGCCCCCAAGAGAGTTGGAGTCTCTCTGTCCACAGAACCTGACAATTGTAACACCTCCTGAGAGATAAGGCAAGCTCTCTCAGGAGTTGAAAAGGATTCTGACCTAATGAGCCTAACTCAGCATAGGTGACAGAATCAGATAACACTCCTCCAAATCCATGTTTCCCCTATGTCTCATATCTTGGAATATGAGAGACTTACATAAAAACCAGACATACCGTCAGATTGGCTAGGAAGAGGCGAACAGTTTGATGGGTCACTCGACTTGTCTCGCATACACAGGAAAGCAGAAAAATAGATCTTGTGAACCGTTTAGCATACACTT